TGAGTATAAAGTATGTTACTGACCAGCCAGCAAGAAGGCTGCTGTTACCTGAGGCTGTATTACTAGGATGTTCTCCTGGGTTTGCTACTGTATTAGCAAGAACTGCTTTACTGAATTTTGTCTAATGGATCCCTAGTAGCAATGGCTACTTGGGCTACAATAAAGATTCTCTTATATACCTACAACGTCTCATGTCTTCTCCGTCGAATACCTGGCATCCAAGAAGGTCCAGTCCCTGGCAGAGGGGCTCGGACTCCAACAGTTGGCATAGTGGAGCAGGATGAAGGACCTATGCACTCGACAAACAGTACAGAGAGCAGGGTTTGAGGAATATGTACTCCCCAACAGCACTGGACATAATTTGGGGGTAGACAGAGAATAATACTTATCGATGGCCAACAATTATTTACACTTACCAGAAACCACAGAGTTTTATTACAAGGAGTCACTGCTAGACAATGCAGTTTGGCCTCCATGAAGATACAGGTATCTAAGAAGTTAGGAGACAGCGACTTGTTGCAGGTGGGACCTCCTAAAATACAATTAATAGGATGATACACAAGAGCTTTGGAAGGAAGGTCTGGGTGCCACCAACTAAGAAGCATCATCTCACTGGCAGGTGAAGAGGGGTACAAAAGGAAAGACAAGGAACTATGACAAGACTGAAAAGACTGCAATTCTTTTACTTTTACCATGATATTGGTCTACATTTCAAAGGGGGAAAGAAACTGCTACATAAAAGCCATTCATTGGGAAACTCTACCCAATGATTTACTGTACTTGCCAACCTGACCTCAAGTGAGCACTTAGACTCCTTACTGGCTGAAAGAATAGCAAGCCTGTGAGAGGGAACACAGACTGGAACTTGACAAGAAGAAAACAGTGAAATTAAGAGAACAAAATGCGAATGCGCAGCAAAGGCGAGCGGTCGTCAACGGGCTGTTTCCATTGGTGACGCCACCCACTGCTGAACAGGCTCTGCCTCATTCCCGCGCCCTCCCGTCGGGCCCGCCGGCGGGTTTCCTTCTGACAGCATCCAGCAGGGAGAACCACAAAGAATTTCGAAAGAGATGACATTAGAGAGAGAAACTGGCCCACAGCTGTTGGAGAACAAAAAGGGCAAGAGAGGCCACGCTGCCAGACACACACCCAGGAGGCCCCGCACCCCAGGCGGAGGGAACAAGGGGAGGAGGCTGGGTTCTCGGGCCTAGAAGCATCGAGGGGAGCCTGGCAGAGCAGGGCCCAGCCCTCGGGGGTGATGAGCCTGCCAAGGCGGGCGCTTCTGTGGGCCACGAGGAGGCTGATGTAAAAAAAGAAAAAAGCCCAGCCAGCATGGCTCAGTGGTTGAGCATTGACCTATGAACCAGGGGGTCACGGTTTGATTCCCGGTCAGGGCACTTGCCCGGGTTGCAGGATCATCCCCAGTGGGGGCGTGCAGGAGGCAGCCGATCAATGATTCTCTCTCATCATTAATGTTTCTATCTCTCTCTCTCCCTTTCCCTTCCTCTCTGAAATCAATAAAAATATCTCAATCAGAAAAAAAAAGCTGGAGCCTGGAACCAAGAGCGCCCCCCGTCCCTCCATCAGGTTGAGAGCCATGGCTGAGGTGAGGCTGCCAGAAGCAGGCAGCCCACAGGAAGGAGCAAGCCCCTCCGCCCCCCGCCCTGCAGCCCCCACCCAGCACCCCGCATGGCAGAGCCCCATGGGAAACCAGCTGGCAAAGAAGGAATGCTGTTTGCAGAGTCCCAGGGGCATAAGCAGTGTGTAGAAGGGGGTGCGGAGCTGGGAGACAGTGGCTGGACAACATGCACTGCACATTTACCAAGGGAAGCTCGCCCCATGTTTAGGTCTCCGGCTCCCATCTTAATTCGCAACAAACTAAACTGCCTCCAAATATGTCCAGTGGGGACAGAGGAAATGGCAGGGCAACCCAGCATCAGGCCGCGTCCCACCAGAGCCACACGCAGCGGGACCTCACCTTCCAGCTCCGAGGAGCCTTCGAGGGGCCCGGGGTTCGCGTCTGCACTGCTCTCTCCTATGAAAAATGGGCTCCTCGGGGCTGTGTGCAGGCCTGCTTAAAACAATAAGCTTTCCTAACCCCCGAGCGCGACATGCTCCCGGAGCGTGGTCTGGATGCTTATCAAACGCGTTCCCGGGCCACTCTCTGAAGTTGCTGGGCGAGTACAAACAACAGAGTCAAGCCCATGCCTCTTAAAAGCGAGGCTGTGGAGCACGTACCCTGTCAGGGAGATCCTGGATTCCCACAGAGTAAACAGTAACATGAGAATATTTATACGAAACAAAACTGTGTATCAGCCTGCGTTGGCTCAGCCAGAGGGAATGATAAATTCCTTGCAGATCTCTCACAGAGTGGTCCTTTGTGGGCCGCGGACGCCACCTCCGAGACAGTACAAGCCAGTTACCGAGCAAGGCTTCTCATTATGTCGAGGAATGAAAATACTGCCCCCCAATCGGTTTTATTTTGCAGTTTTATCTTACGTAGCCCGCCCCACTCCCTCAGGTTGAGTCAAGCCCAAATTCATGTTGGAAGCAAATGATACCCCTCCCCCGCTCCCCCCAAGAAAAGCAACAAAAGCTCCAGCATCCTCAGGTCCTAGCGTTTTGCTTTTCTTATCCCTCTTCTAAGAGACAAAAAGCTAACGTTTAAAGTGGGGGAGAGCCCTAACCGGTTTGGCTCACTGGATAGAGCGTCGGCCTGCGGACTGAAAGGTCCCGGGTTCGATGCCGGTCAAGGGCATGTACCTTGGTTGTGGGCACATCCCCAGGAGGGGGTGTGCAGAAGGCAGCTGATCAATGTTTCTCTCTCATCAATGTTTCTAACTCTCTATCCCTCTCCCTTCCTCTCTGTAAAAAAATCAATAAAATATATTTAAAAAAAAATAAAGTGGGGGAGAGCAGAAACATGGAAAAGTTGCTAAGATGTCAACTCTATTTGCCCACATCCATTTTGCCCTATTCACAACCTGCCCAAGTCCCGGGCGGTCATCTGGCAGGAGACGAGGTTAAATGAGCCACGTTCCATACAGTGTCCACTTTGTTGTCCCATAGAACAAAATGCTGCAGGAACATTTGCACAAACTGTCAGTTTGCTTCTAAGAGGCCAGTATGAGAAAAGGTTGATATGGGTCAGGATATCTGTCAGTGCATTTTGCCAGATGTTCTCAACCCAACATGATAATCCTTCGATGTTATAGACCTATCCCAGCTACTTCTGCCAGCTAAGGCTTAGAAAATGCTGATGATACGGTAGCTGTCTGCCAGTTAAATCTACGGCAACTTACTGCTGGTTCAGATTTTCTAGAGAACCATGGTAGAGCAAGGGAGGAGGGGAAGAGAGAAAGACAAAAGGAAAGATCAGGGGAATTAGAATATGAACAAGAAGTAAGATGTGATTGTATTGGATTTGAAAATTCTTTATAAAAAAAATCGTAAGATAGCTAAGATTTGTAAACAGCCTAAGTGCCCATCAGCAGGTGAGTGGATTAGAAAACTGTGGTACATCTACACAATGGAATACTACGCTAATGTAAAAAGGAACTCTTACCATTTGCAACAGCATGGATGGATCTGGAGAGCATTATGCTAATCAAAATAAGCCAGTCAGAGAAAGATAAATATCATATGATCTCACTCATTTGTGGAATATAATGAATAACATAAACTGATGAACAAAAATAAAACCAGAGTCATAGACGCATCAAACAGACTGTCCAACCTATGATGGAAGGCGGGGGGTGAGAGGGTAAGAGATCAACCAAAGGACTTGTATGCTTGCATATGAGCATAACCAATGGACACAGACAGTAGGGGGGTGAGGGCATGTGCTAGTGGATGGGGGCAGCCGGGGAGAGGTCAATGGGGGGAAAAGGAAACTTATGTAATACTTTAAACAATAAAGATTTTTTTAAAAAATCATAAATTGTTATATTTCGATCAAAGGCCAAATTTAATCAACTTTATTTTAAAACATTAACTAACCCTCATATGTAGTGCCAAAGTCCATCATAACTTTATTTAATAAGTATGGCTTAGTGAAATTATCTTACTCAGATGTCTGTTTTTTTTAAACTTTTGTGGAATCAATATATACTTTTTAATGATTAATTGTGGATATATATATATGTATATGTATGTATGTATATATATAAATATATATATATAATTTATCATTTTAACTGCTTTTACATATACAGGTCAATGGCATTAAGTATTCACATTGCTGGGCAACCATCATCACCATCATCTCCAGAATGTTTTTTATCTTCCACAACGGGAACCGTACCCATGAACTAGATGTTTGGTTTGAGACAGGCCTTGTGCAAAGCCAGCAGCCTGGGATGCAGCGGCAGGCACCCGGAGAGGTTCACTCAGGTGCCTGGCAAACGAAGCAAATCCTCCTACAGCCCCAGACAACTCAGTGGCAGCAGGTGCTTTCCCCTCTCTCCCCTGCTCACTATTGATGCCCAGGACTGAAGCAAAGCTCTAGACTAGGTCTGGGAAGAGTACTAGAAGTCCGTGTCATTTTCACATTTCAGCTTACAAAGTCCCATCTAGTTCCCCAGGACACAGCCCTTGGTCAAGATGAGAACTCTTCTCCCCCTTTTATAGGTGATGCAACTCCGGCTCCATGGGAGGTAAGCCCACGCCCTCCAACCCGCTGCCCAGTGCTCGGTCACCAGGCTGCGTGGCCTGTGCCAAGGCAATAGAAGGACTAGGCGCTACTGCTTCTCAGCTCTCACCGTCGGGGAAACAGACACGTCGGGTCTAACTGGACAGCACTGGCTCTCTTCACCACAGCAACCAAGTGTCCTTGTGCCTGAAAACCAAACTGAGTCCAACATTTTCCCATCTTTTGGGCATTTATATTTACAGCAAAACTACCCAAAGAAGCATAATTCTGGAACAAAATTAACACAACCAGATTCAAGAGTTGAATTCAATCTATTTTTTATTTTTAATTCCATAAAATAAATTCACAATATGTGCTCTTATTTGGAAAGACCATAATCTTTCTTGTTAAAAAAAATCAACAGAAAAATACATTTCTTTGTGCTTTATGGATAGAAAGGGCCCTGTGCTAAAGCAATATAAATACTAAAGATTTACATAAAATTTCCAGAATCAACAAGTGGCTTCTTTTAGTTCACAAAATGACTACATATTTTGATTTCTTTCAAATAAATTCCTTCCACTGATACTCTTCTCTGTGCTCAAAAGCAATATATTCCCTAAATCTTCAGACTTCCCATTTAAATTCCAAAAAGGATAAACACAATTCCTTGAAGTCATGCCCAACACCACCATTCCATCTCCCTATATAAACATTAAAAAATTAGGCAAATCAGGTTTTTGGAGTTATCTCTGCAATAAACAATAGGTTATCCTAAAAGTGGGAAGGCAAAAAAGAACAACCAGGCTTTGAAAGAGCAATTTTATTTTATAATTCTCCCCACTTTTTAGTCACTTAGTACTTGATTTTTTTTAACATACACATTTAAAAAAAAAAAAAAAGATCATTTGAAAAATGAAAGTTGAATACAGACCTTGGAAATAATGAATTAGGGAAAACCAAGGAAATAAAACCCATCTTTGGTTTTGTTCTCAACAATTAAACCTATTGACATGGTTCGGCAGCCATGCCCATTCCACTCAGTTGATTCGGGAGGTCTTCTAATGCACAAAGTGCATAAACGTGGTGCAGAGAGGTTCTCATGAAGTTTCAACGAGGACTAGAACTATCACGGGGCAATGATGAACAATCCATAAAGACTGGCTGTTGAGCAAAGAATGCTTGTATCTTTCCCTCATCTTCACTGGCCAAACAAAACTTTGTAATGATTGACATTTTTCCTTAAAATTTCCATGAATTCTTAAACTGGATCACATGAAAATACCTCCCCGTATCTTCCAGAATTCCCCGATATTTTCTTTTATAGCATATTCAGCACAGTTCTTGCACTCTTGGGGTGTAAATCCAATTAATGCTCTCCCTATAGTACCAATTCCCCGATCACCTGCCAGCTTTTTAACTTGAGTTTCTATGTAATGAGGAGATATGTAAGAAAAATGGTCCTCAAGAACATTATAAGACATGTATCGGGACTCTTCTGAGGTTTCTGTAGCTTCTTGGTCTTCAAAACTCTCCACGTTGCAAGCTATCTCAATTTTCCCTTCATGGGGAAAAGCCATCGCTTGGACGCCCTTCAGTCCATTTGCATTTGAGCCCCGAATGGCACCAGCAATCTCTTTTCCCAAGGCCAAGTCTTGAGAGTCTATGGTAACATTGCAGTTCATCACATACGGGCTGGCGCCGACGCCTAAATCATTGGAAAAGCATGTTAATCAAGCAAAGCAAAAACCTCCTTCTGAATGTTCCATTCTTTAGCCAATTTTAATCCAAGGAGCTACCTTTATGTGGTTGTACTTTAAAATAATACAAATGTCATTATCAACTCCAGAACTTTGTAAAATATATATGTATATAAAACAGAGCTATTTAAGCTAAAAGCAGAAACGTTTATCTACTCTGAAAGTATCTGCAGGTTGTCTTTTCTAGACTAGCTAAGGGTCCAGAATTTCCCAAATATCAACAGAAAAGGGGCAGCACACTTTAGTATTAAATATCAACAGCAGCAAAAAGTCTTGGCTTCTCATTAATTTCCAAGGACATCTCCACAAGGGTTGGGCCTAAGGCTCTGGGAGACACGAATAAATCATACTCTGTACCCATCCCTTCCTCCCCAAACACACCAGTTATCACTGAGTTAGGTTAACACCCAATTCAAGGGAACTTCAACAACAGTCTTGGTTAGGGAAGGTGGTCACTGAAAAGTGACAAAAAGCCTTGGAACTGAGAAGAGGAAAAACACTTGCGTCTCATGAGAATGTGGGTTTGGCAGGGTTTGGAGCACTATGTGTACCTACTGAGGTACAACCTGTTGGAGGCACCTGTCCCACCCCCAGCGTCCCCAGGACCTGGGACGGCCTCTCTGAGCCCCGTTACTTTAGAGCCGGGGGCAAATGTCCCTTTTTTTTCTTGCCTCAAGAATGGTGCAGCTCATGTTACATAAATAACCCTGCTCTAATTATAGTTTACATTTTAAGATGGACAACTTGGTTAAATTAGCATTGGCATACAAAGCTTAGGTTTGCAGTTTCTTCACTTTGGGGGAACCTTATATTTCTGAAAGCAAGGTTGATGAGGGATTGACGGAGGATAAAAGGCTGACCTCATCTCCAGCAGATGACAATTCCTTAGCTGCTATTTCAACATCATTTTACTGTCATGGCTTTTTCTTGCTACTTTCAAACGTATTGCTCAGGATGCCAGTGTCCATCAGAGACGTCCTCTGGGCTCACTTTCCATGGACGGCCGTGGTTCGGGGGCTTTGCTGCCTTAGCCTGGGCACGCTCATACTAATAGACGCTTCACAGAAAATCAGCACACGGAAACCACATTTTGCCTTTTTCCCACATGCGTACACATAATAAAACATTTCAACTCCTGAGGTTGGGCCTCTTCCTCCTGGGAATTCTGCAGAAATGATTCAGATTACAGTAGTTCTCCATCATGCTGATTTCACAAAAATTAAATTTCCTAACAGTCAATACATCTCTCTCTCTCATAATCTCATACACCAGTCACTTACTCTAAATATCTTTGAGAAGTATATCAGTTTCAACATTTCACAGAGCACATTGGAATTTTTTTTTTTTTCGGTCAATGCTAATGCCGTTCATTAATAGAAAACATCCAAGCATGGCTTCTCTCTCCTCCGCCCGACAGGTAATGATCCCCTCCAATCCGACAGACATCCCCTATTCTGACTCTCATCTTCACCATCACTCCAACCATCTCACTCATTTTTGCTGAAGAGTCTATTTCTATATACACTCTGCCACAGTAAGCACAACTATTCACGACAAATATTGGGCCTATTGCGCTTGGCTATTTCAAAACAGCCATGTGTCCAATCAGCATTCAGATATCCACATGCAATCTGTCAACTTGAGGGAGTCCTTGAGATGGACCCAGGGCCCTCATGCCCCCGCTGCGGTGGCCGGGCCAGTCCCTCCTACAGCCACAGGATCCAGAAGATTCCAAGGCCCCTTTTACCACCGCATGCCCAAGAACTGCCCCTTTTTAGTAGCATTTCCAAAGGTGATCATTCTTGTGAATAAATGAATTCATTGCCTAAGGTAAGTTATTGAAGATAGAAAACATTTAGATCTCCAGCCCAGAGCACAAGAATTTGATAAAGAATATCCTTGTCCCAACACTGATTTACTTAATTTTTAAAAACCCACTATTTTAAAAACGCCTTTAAAAGCATACGTAAAAGAAAGGCATATGTAAAAGTTAATTATTTCTTAGAAAAATAAAACAAAACATCAGAAGTAACTTTTATATTCTCTTTTAAATAAAATAAGAGGGAACCCCTTAGCACAGAAGGATCATTTTTCCTGTATTCCATTGCTATGTGTTATTTTAAATTCTTCTATTAAAATTTAATTACACAATAATTTGTTTTATCACTACAGCTTCAGCAGTGAATAAACAAAGACGATCCAATGAGTCCTGAGAAGTTTCTGACCTCATCAGGTAGGGTTCCCTTTCTGCGGATTTGGGAGGCCATGACCCACTTCTCCGGTGGAAGGGGAGGGAGTGCAGGGAGAGGAAGGAGGAGAGAGGAAGAGAGGAAAAGAAAACCACTTTCTGCCCAAATGCATGCTTTCCCAACTTCCTCCAAGTCCAACACCAACACGGTGCACTAATTCTAACAAATCCAGCAGTCCCAGTGACTTTATTCAAATGCTGAATTTGACTCTTTATGCTCATTAAACTTCGCAAGAATTTTTAAATAAGGAAAATAATTAATCCCAGCAACTCGTATTTCTAGCGACACGTCTTATAATTAAAGTGATTCCACTTTTTGCTCTAAAATTAGAAAGCTGATGTGAGTTTGTTTGTGGTTCGCCCCGCCCCTACCTCCACAGATTGGCAGGCTGCTCTGCGAATCTCCCCACTCGAAGCTCAAATCCCAGTTCTATTCCAATGCAACTGTCACAACGCCCCCAAGCAGGCTAAAAGCAGGGAAAATCTCTGCTATGATTTCACTTTCCATGTGTTCTATTCTTTAATAAAAAAAAATTGTCATTCTAAATATTGGTGTTTACTTCTAGTTAAATACTTTTTTTTTAACAAAAAGAAAAAGAAACTGAGATTCAGTTGCTATTATTTCCCAAGGAAATCTAACAGGCCTGATGTTTTCCTGACAATCCTGCTATTTTCTTGTGTGGAAACACTGTATTTCTCATATACTGCACGGCTGGTGATTTAGATATTGTAGAGACCTTATGGTGAACTGATAGAGATGTAAACTCTTTCTGCCAGATTGTTTAAGCAGAAAAAAAAAAACCAAAAAGCCCCAAATGCACTTAATTAACATCTGATGTGTAGTTTTTGCAAACACGAATGCGATACTTGTGTTTGAGCACTGGCAGTAATGACTGTGAACTACGCTATTAATGTCTGGTTTAAAGATGCTTGTGGTAGGACCACGTCTGGAAGAACACAAATAAAAACCTGCATTCAGACAAAACAATAGCGAAGAGCCCACTAGAACAATGAGAAGGCAGCCCTCGGGGGAGACACGCGTCCTTCTTCCCCCTTAGATCAAAACTATCCTCAAAAATAGTTCTCAGTGGCACAGCCATCAATCAATTTACAGGTCAAAGGATTCTCCACATTTTCTTTCACAGGAAGAGTTTCAGTTCAGCGGCCCAGAAGTTGCTTAGGGGTGTCTTAGGCGTCCTACCCATTAGACTGCACTCCTCCTCTGCGGCCAGTAGGCACACATGTGCGAGGAGAGAGCTGGGGTGGTGTTCTGGGGTGCTTGGCATTTTCATATCTGAAGAGAGAACGTCACCTGTGTGGATTCCTGTGCAATGGGAATAAACAGAGATTCTCGTGGACCAACGTGCAACTCCCTCAGTGAGTATGTTTTCCTTGAAAACCTGCTGCGTGCCAGAAGCCTTGAGTCGCTGGGCACAAAAACAGGAAGGAGGTGAAAATAAGATAAAGCCCAGCCTAGAGGTGGTCTTCGCTTCACAGTAACAGAGAGAGCAGGCACCCGACTTGGACCTCAGTCCCACAACACAAACAGTTACTACCCTCAGCGAACAGGCACCGTTACATACGGGTGCTGTAACTTTTTTAGAACATCTACTAAAGAGAAATCACAGCTGAGACAAGACATTTGGTGACCAAAGCCACAAAACTCACACATAATTGCTCAGCCCCGCGCTCCCATGGCAGGAAGCACGCAGGGCTCTGAGGCATGTGGCCAGATCTACGGAAAAGAAAGCTAAGTGAGGAGCACGTGGGCAGAGCTGGGAGTGGCACCCCAGGGATCGGGATTCAAGTCCCACCTCCTCAGGACACTGCCTTTGCTCGGCTGTTTTTCTGCAAAATGCTTATGATATTTTCCTGCTCTGCAAGGAATGGTGAACCTCAATTTCTCAGCTTTGAATCTTTCAGAACAGCGAGAATTCAGAGAGGAAATTACACAAGTAGGTACATGTTAAACGTCGTCATGGGATGAAGCCAGCCCGGGTGAGGCCAGCTCAGGTGACCTGCTTGTTCCCTAATTTTCCATAGTGGAGTGGTACCCTTCATCCATCCAACACCCAAGTCCTTCATGTGCCCATTACAGGTTCCATGTTTAATTACACATTGAGACTTTCACCTCCCATCATCCAAAGTGGATGAATAGTCAAACAGAGAATCATGGAAATTGGTTCCTTAAAACTTAACAGACTCATTCTAACACAGGAAAGTGATTTTTCAGGGACTAAGTAAAAGTTTTGATGTGGAGTAAATCGCATTATTCAATGTCAAGAAAAGTGGCTGGTGATGCTACGCTTCTGATTTACAGGGAGAGAAGTAGCAGGGGCAGCTCTCAGGAACCCATTTAAATAGCTAAACAGAAGTCCCTGACTCCAAGATGTGCCGATTACCTCCATCCATGATTCCCAAAACAGCATATGAAACTGTGTAGTTCAAAGAATCGTCCCTGTATTTTTAAACAATGATGCATATAGTATATGCAGGCCATTCATATAACATATCAGCCAGCAGTGTTTAAATTATCCCATAAATGTTTAGGGTTTTTAAATATATATGTATAAAGTATTTATTTATAGATCTAAAAGTATCAACTATTATTGCTTTGCCCTAATTTATGTTCCCCACGAGCTGGCCAACTACAAACTTTTAAAAGGAATTTGGTTAAAAGATTTTGTCTGTTTGGCACTGACTAGGAGTGCTAGTCATTTCTGAGCTCACTTTTTTCTGCCTCTGTTTATAATATTCTTAGGGAACTTCAAAACAGAAACCTGCTCCCTCATAGATCTGCTTCCTCTGGGGGACTGCGCAGATTAATTTGTCACTGGAAAGTTAACTGTAAGTGTTCAGTTGATAGCACCAATCATCCTATTTAATTCTTTTTTAGGAAAAGAAATAAACAGCAACAATGTGTTGAGGCTTTTCTGTTTTGATGGGAGAAGTGGAAAGATTTGTTGAGAAACACTGACATAACTAAAGAAAGTTAGAAAAATATATAAAGCCATTAGATTTTAAAATAAGGGAGATCACCACCACTGTTGAGAACTAAATGCACTGAAAAATTAGATGAGTCACATTTATACCCTAATGACCAAAGTATTGTAAATTCTACTTCAATATATAGGGCTTTAAAAAAGGAAAGCATTTTACTCCTTCCTACATAAATGTTCTCTTAAGGGAGAATTTGTGCAAGTAAGGTACCCTGAGATTTGGGCTGATCATGTGTCTTAATATTGAATTCCAATCTGGTCTGCAAATTACTAGAAACGAATTGCTTATCCACACCCCTTATTTACTCTTCCACCTTGAAACAGACATGATGTTTTTCTGCAGGCACCTGCTCTGAGCCTATTAAATGAAGGGCCTGTGCTTGGAGGAGGTCGCCTAAACTTAGCTACTCTTGTAACTTTCATGTTTTTTGCACAAATGAAGGCTTCTGCCACTTGTCAGGGAGATATTAGCAAAATAGACATTGGGGGGAAAGTTGTGCTACTTTTTCCTTCTTAACTTGACTCTTCCATCAAACCCCATCTAAATGAACACATTGAAACCCAGCTTTTATAAAAACTGACCATTGATAAACCTTCAAAATTATCCCTCATGAGAGATAATGGAAAATAATCACAAGATCGATTTAGAGAAATTATGAAAACGAAAATAAGCTGGAGCATTATAAATTTTAAAATGTGTAAAAGTTGAGATAAATAAGATGCACGTCTGTTTCCCAATATTCAGGCCATCTATTTGTGCTACTTTGTAGCCTCCGGCCTTGACCCTGGCCAGTCCCTCCACCCGAGACGCCTGTTCACACCTCCAGTGGCTACCGGCCTCCCCTGGCCTTTGCTCCAAAGCTGCATCACAGTGAGGCTGACTCTGGATTATCCCATTGAAATTCACAGCTCACCCCACCCCAGGGCTCATGGTGGTGGTGGTGTTGTTTTGGTTTTTTGGTGTTTTGTTTTCTTTTTTGGCTATAGCACTTATCATTTTCCAACATGCTATAGAATTCACTATTAATTAAGCTTCTTATTTATTGTCTGTCTTCTCATCCCTACCCCCTGGAATAGAAATTCTTTGAGGGCATATCAATTCGGTTTTGCCCACTGATGACAGTGTCTGGTGCATACCAAGTACTTAACAAATTCCTTGTTGCATTTATTATCTACAAATTCTCTCTACAATGTATTGTATTTTCCATGTCTCTAAACATTCTTCCGCAACCTCATGCCTAATTGCTTGCATAATAGTCCTTCACTTAGGCATGCCACAGTTTATTTAATATTGAACGTGTATCATGTGTCCAGCACTTGCTATTGCAAGTGATGCTCTGATAAATATACTTGTACATAAGGACATACACCTTTTACTATCTCCTTTGGGTTTATCACCAGGAATAGGACTCCTGCCAGGCGGCCATATGCACCTTTGAAGCTCCTGATGCATACCCTGAACTCACTTCCACAGCTTGAACCAACTGATAGTACCTTTAGCAGTAGGGGCCTAAGGATGACATCCTTACCAGTATCAAAACTGCCTTCAAAATGCCATCTTTAAACCTCTTTGTGCCAATTTTGACCATTTGGTCTTTAACTCAGACATGCTTTTTAAATCAGGTTAGAGTTCTTCCCAAGTACGAACCCATTCATTCTCACAGTACTGCAAAAATGAGAACTGGGTTTTTCAAGGTTTGCCTACCTAACGCTAAAGCCAGCTCTGCTGTATTCTAACACCAGGAGCCCGTCTGTAGCGCCTGCCCACTAGCTGCAATCGCACCACCTGGCACTGGGCTGACTGGTTTGTGGTGCAATCCCTTCAGTCTCCAATGAGGCTCGAATTAGAAACCAGGAACTAGACTTCTGAGGATTTAGTCACAGAACTTACACTTCTACACTTGCGAGACAACTCGTGGGAAAATATGTGAGGTTCAAATTGGCAGGGAGCGATCAGTTTCTTCCCTTTTCCATAACTACAGACGGAAGCACACTGATCACCACTTTTTATATACCTTCTCTCTGCAGGGAAGGGGGAAAAGGCCCTTTAGTATTGCATTTGGTACTTAGCAGACATTTCAACTTCACGGTCTTATGAGGGAGGTGCAGGGATTGTGTCCATTTCATAGATATGGGAACTGAGGCTTACGGAACTCTCAGAGGTCACAGGGCCAGTAAGCAGCAGGGGCGGGATTCGAGCTCAGCCTCAAAGCCGTGATTTTTCCGCTGCATCGACTACAGACACGCTTCGTTTGAGAGAATTCTGCACCAGGGGACCATACGCAGAGGCCTCTGTGTGACTTACGCCTGCCCACCTCTTGGGTAGCCAATATTTTTGTAACGGCTAAGGTATTAACTGACTACCAAAACGTTACCTAACATGGTTGAATTTGTGATCCCTTCAGAAGATATTTGAGAATAAAAGAATTAAGATTCAAGTAAATGGCAGCAGGATGGTGAAGTGCAGGGAACAGGGATGGAATTGGGCGGGGGGGGGGGGGGGCGCTTTCCTTTTCCTAGATAAGCCCTGCACACAGGGCAGGGCTGGAGCAGCAGACAGTTAAGAACCGATGGGACCCCCAGGAAGGGAGAACGCCATGCCTGTTCCCGGTGCCTGCTCGCTCTTCCAGAAGCCTGGTGTCTAGAGAAGGCTCCCCAGCTGCCCCAGAACTGATCTCCAGCTGCACGCATCAGCCCGGCCACACTGGCTGATCAGGTTCAGATAGGCTTTCCTACCAGCTACAAGTAACCTGGACCAGGTCCCTACCCCCCAGTGTCTCCATACCCCCCGGGCACAGCAGCAGGCCTCCAGGACCCTACCCCAGAGTCGGGAGTGACACCATTCTCGTCACCATGGCCAGGCGGCAGGGCTCATCATGGATCTTCGAACCCCCTCTAAGGGACTGTCATCAAGTATCCGAGGAGGGCTGCTAGCCTCTCTGGTCAGCTTATGGAGAGACGGGTGAGAGCAAGAGCAGAGAGCCCCTGACCCAACTCACTAGGGCCCTCACTGGGACCGACACGATTCAACAAGTCCAGGGCATCTCAGGAGTCTACCGTCAAGTTTAAAAACAACAGCAGAACAAGACCAAACTGCGAACCTGTTAAGCCACATCTTCGGGCAGGTGCAGCTCCCAGGTCGGGTTCCAGGGCACTGAGATCCCTCCTCGCGAACCAGCCCAGCTGCTTCCTCCTCTGGACCAGGGGGCGCTTCTCGGGCAGATCGGCCTCGCCGAAGAGAAACACGCCGCTGCCCGGGACGCGCAGGACGAGGGTCTCAGCCAGGCCTGTGGCAGCGGGAGGCGTTCACAAAAGTACATTAAAATCGGGCCCAACGGAAGAAAATCAAGCTTACAATTGTCTTATTGTGGTAACACGCATTTAACACAAAATGTACCACTGCAACCATTTCTCAGGGTAAAAATCAGTGGCATTAAGTCCATTCCCATCACTGTGTAACCATCACCGTGAAAGCCTATAATTCATACTCATTTTTAAAATCAAAGTTTGAACATAATTTATTTTTCCGTGAAGGAGGAGTCTAGTAATAAACGTTTGTCTTTGTAAGAGGAGGCTAGAATTTCTAAGCCATTACAAATATTCATCACTAAGACGAATGAAATTGGTACCTTCGGTTTTTTAACAACTTTCTGACAGCCCCAAACTGTGCATGTTGTCAGAAGAGAATAAAAGATCGCCAGGGCCAGATCTGCACTGTCCAGTATGGTAACCCCTACCTACGTGTGCTATTAAGTTTTAATTTTAATCAATTAAAATAAAATACAATTAGCCTGGCCGGTGAGGCTCGGTGGTTGAGCGTCGACCTATGAACCAGATCACAGTTCGATTCCCGGTCAGGGCTCAATCCCCAGTGGGAGGCGTGCAGGAGGCAGCCGATCCGTGATTCTCTCTCATGAATGATGTGCCTATCTCTCTCTCCCTTCCTCTCTGAAATCAATAAAAATACATTTTAAAAAATGAAATGCAATTAAAAATTAAGTTTATCAGTTGCACTAGCCACATGTCAAGGGCTCGATAACCACACACAGCAAGCAGTCTCCTTATTGAACCTCGCGGATATCAAACATTTCCATCATCACAGGAAGTTCTGTTGGCCAGCACCGGGCCAGATGTTCCCTAAAGAAGCCCAATATTTCAGCATAACTTTATGGAGGGGACTCTACACGACAACATTTTTGCATCCCCTCTGTCCCTTCTTTATACCTAGATCCTGTCTCTGACCTCGTCTTCTCAAGGCAGATTACAGAACTATCCTGTTTATTCTAGAGAACTGCTACCGGGAGCCTGTTTGCAGCCAACAGCACGTTCACACGGGGCTAATTACAATCCCGAAGGACAATGAGGGCACGCATTCTCGTCTGATGTATGAAATGGAGGGAATTTGGGAGGTGGCCTGGGACAGCAGGAATGTGGGCCTTCTTTACTGGAGGTGCATCATGGGACATCAGGGGCCAGGACAGGGCCTCCTGCCACATAAGCCTAGGAAACCTCTCCAACTGCAATTTTAGGGTCTGTAATTTGTTGGTTTCTAATGTGGACTGCCACGTTGATAGGAGGGGTGAAATGTGGAGGTGGCCAACAAAGATTTCATATTTCTGAGTTGTATGAGGTCTTAGGAAATGTTCTTTCTCCGAGTCAGGTCGGGACTCCAGCATCAGGAGCCCGCGATGTTATAGACCAGCAATGGCGAACCTTTTGCGCTCAGCGTGTCAACATTTTGAAAAACCCTAACTTAACTCTGGTGCCGTGTCACACACAGAAATTTTTTGATATTTGCAACCATAGTAAAACGAAGACTTATATTTTTGATATTTATTTTATATATTTAAATGCCATTTAACAAAGAAAAATCAACCAAAAAAATGAGTTCGCGTGTCACCTCTGACACGCGTGTCATAGGTTCGCCATCACTGTTATAGACCAAGAAGCCAAGACAATCTCCCAAGTTCACTAAGGCATCTCTGCTTCTTTAGACCACGCTAAGATGCAAAAGGACCATTGCTCCTGGAGGGAGGGAGGGCAAAGATGCCAGGACACATACAGTCAACGGAGGTTTCAGGATTGTAAAATACTGTCTAGGCCAGTGGTTCTCAACCTTCTGGCCCTTTCAATACAGTTCCTCATGTTGTGACCCAACCATAAAATTATTTTCGTTGCTACTTCATAACTGTAATCTTGCTACTGTTATGAATCGTAATGTAAATATCTGATATGCAGTATGGTCTTAGGCAAGCCCTGTGAAAGGGTCGTTCGACCGCCAAAGGGATCGCGACCCACAGGTTGAGAACCGCTGGTCTAGGCAGTTAGGTAACTTCTCAAGTCTGGACTGGAGCGGAGGGGGCAGAAGAAAGGGGAGAACGTTTTGGAGAGTTGTCAAGATGCCTTAACACTCCAAATCTCCTAGTTGTTCAGATCACTGATATCTGCTCCAACCATAACTTTGGCTGCTACAGTGTAATATACAAACTGTGATGCCCAAATAATATGATCTTTGGAACTTGCTTTAAAATACTTTAGTAAAACCAAAGGAAAATAGAGGAAGATAAAAAGAGAGAAAAGGAGAGAAAAATCAAGGAAGAAACAGAAAAACAGAAAAGAAACTGCCCCATAGAATAGATGGAGAGACAGCGATTAGATGAGCCACGGAGAGCATCCAGCAGGCCTGGTGCACATGCTCAGTAAATGCCGGCCTCTCCCCCGGCAGGCCTGCTCCGCGGGTCTGAATTCTGACAAGCTGGAGCCACCTTCCTGGACCGCCATGTCCCTGCGACTAGAAATCCCTGTCTTCTCCACAAATTCACGGTGGAAGGAAGCAACCTTAATTTCTGTTCTCTAATGAAGAGAATAAAGTATTTCATTACTCTCATGCAACGAAAAGACAACCAACACCGAACTGGTATTCAGTAATGGAGACAGTACACTATACTCTTCAGGTTCAGGGAGAGAGCATTTACGTTTCCAGTGACTGCAACCCGGGCGCCTGGCAGGGAGGTGCTCGCAATTTTGCTGGAAAGAAAATGTAGACTGCCCGCATATCAAAGAAATGTCTCAAATTTAGTCAGAATACTTACCAACAAGCTATTTTGTCTGTCATAGGTTCCATGTTCGGTAGAGCTTGTTTCAATGTTATCACTTTATTTTCACAATTAATCTAGGCAATAATCATTCCATGTAATTGCAAACGCTCACACCAAGCAAACAAATAGGCCTCCTAAAGGAGATCAACATTCTGAACACTCCACGTGCAAGCCTGTGGGAAACTGAGTCCCGTCAGCCTTCAGGTCAGCGGCACGGCTGCTGAAGGCCACAGCCCTGCGTGCATCTCCCCTAGAGCCATTCCTCCCTCCTCCGGTGGAGCCCGGCATCTCCAGAGCAGGGACCTGGAGCGTTTACAATGACCAGCAAGAAACCAGAACGACTGAACTAATGCCTGCTTCCTCATCCTGCTCCCCGCCACTGAAATTCATTTCTCCCTCTGTCGTGCTCCTGCGGTACTTTGCAGCTTTTGTTGGCTAGAACATCAGATCTAATCTACTGGCATCACACAGTTAATTGCAGACTTTTGCTTCTACGTCTAGGTTTCGAGCTCCCTGAACAATTAAGGTTTGTTAAGTTGAATGAATGGAATTTGGGTCCTGAGCACTTTGCAGATGTTGGGCACTGCAAACCTGAAATAGCCGTGTCGTCCCCCTCACCCCATCTTGCCCCAACCTACAAAGGAGAGGAAGGGGTCAGCTGACAAAATGCGAACTGGGCTGAACATCAGGGGGAGTACAATGTGCTCGTGGCGACTGAACCCTGGGATCAGTCTTCCACCGTTGGCATCACATCTTACGAGCTGTCCTCAGAACGGAAGTCCCCTCCGCAGCGGCAAAGCCACCTGATGGGGGCTACCTGAGCCCGGCAGTACTGTCAGACACGACAAACATCCGAATCGCCTGGCGATGGAAGAGCCGGATACCATCAAGCACTTGAAACAGGCAAAGCAGAACCCGTCAGCTGCCTAAATGGCTCTTTATTAAAAGAACAATCTTTTTTAGTTTTCCTTCCATTTTTTGACAAGTTTTCCCCACCACCATTATTAATACTTCTGATCTTCCCATTTTCACTAGACATATGCTGAAAAGGCTGATTTGATGATAGTACTTTTTAAAAATATTTTTATTGATTTGAGAGAAGAAGAGAGAAGAGACAGAAAATCAATGATGGGAGAGAATCATTGATTGGCTGTCTCCTGCACGCCCCCTACTGGGGATCAAGCCTGCAACCCGGGCATGTGCCCTGGCCAGGAATCAAATCATGACCTCCTGGTTCATAGTCCACTGAGCCACACGGGCCGGACTGATGATAGTATTTTAAAAACATATTTTAACCTTCATGATTGGCTGACCTTATTTACTCAAAAATGATTTTTAGTCATTTCTCTACAGGTATACTGGTATTTATCACTTTCTGTCTTATCTTTAGAGACTTCTCTGAGCTTGGTTATCCCTCTTTGCAAAAGGAGGATTAATGCACCGAGACGTTTCTCTATGTGATAAGAAGTTTAAGCTTCATTTTGTTAACAAATGTTTCCTCTGAGTCTATAACGGACGTGTGACCAAGATGTAGGATTTTACTGAGGACATACAATAGTTAGAGCAGTTCGTGAAGAAGTATTGAAGAATCTGCTGAGTTAAATGTATGTGCCACATACCTCATGGCTACAGTGGTATTTAATACCCTTTTCCCTTCTGCCTTTGTTCTTTCGGGAGCAACGTAGGATTACTGGTATAAATGGAGTCGCAATTTAACTGTTAAACAGCACTGCATTTCAGCAGCTCAAGGAACATAACGGAGAGGCTAACTTTTGTTACATTTTTCCACGGCAGCCAAAATGCACAACTAGGAAAAAAACCATCAAATCTGTCACTCCCTTTCCTCTGGAACAGAAAAAAATCTCTTTCCTCTTGCCCACACACGACATAAATGTGTGGCTTATTTATTTTAAAGCAGAACTCTAATAATACTCAAAAGAGTATCAAATCTTTTCCTAAGTGCATAGCAATGAAAACAGTCTTTTCCAACCCGTCACCTCAGACTCAATAATAAGTAGAGGTAAAAAAGCACAGAATCTAAAAATTAGCCTGGTGCTAGACTTGGAATCTTTCAAGCATCCTCTAATTTTAGTAGAGCTCTCTTAATATAGCCAAGTTTTTTGTTTAGCTGATTTTTTATTTAGTATTTTTTTTTTAATGAGAGGGGGAGAAAAAGATTCTCTCCCAGA